AAAGCACAAGGCATTGCGATCTATCAGGTATTTGTATATGTATGTGTATATATGTACGAGTTTTAATTCTTGTCCCTTGATTTTGCATTTGAGGAAACTGTCAGGGGGAATTTTTGACACTCTTAGAACGTGGCACTGTTCTGAAAAGCGGCATGCTTTGTATTTTCCAATTAAGATTGAAATCAGACATGTAATCCACCTGTCAGCAAGGAACTGAGACTTGAAAAATCAGGGTTTTGTTGTTTTTTCAGTTGTCCTTCTACGTCATTCTGTGTGGCTACACTTCATCTAGACTGATAGACAACTCAAACCAAAGAGGGAACACCCGCGTCAAATAGATAGTGAAATACATTATCGGTTCAGTTTGAGAGAACTGAGATTAAAGTTAAAACACTCCGATTTGAGCTGTAGGTTAACTTTGACTGTAGAGTACCTTGGCCCATCAAAAAGAGGAAATACACAACATTCTCTACAGTCTCGGGAAGTCCCTGATGCTCCTTTCCCCTTCAGAAAGTACAGGGCCTACCATAATGTCCTAAGTCTTCAGCCACATACTAAGAAATTTGGTCATTAAAAAGAAAAAAAGTTTGCCTTATTATTGTTGCTGTTAGCTACTTAGTTTCCCTTCTGATACACTACAAATAGAAAGGGCACCTTTGGGGTCTGATCCTGCATTTCTGGCATACTCAAAACTCCCACTGAAGTCCGTCAAAGTGTGACGAACCGAGAGATTGTAGCATCAGTCCCCCAATTACTTCCTCATTACTCAGAGAAATATTATCTAAAGGTTTAATTATATAACTGGAACAGATATATATTACCCTATTTTTATTTTTTTTTCTCATCTGCAAAATGTCAGAAATTCACACAGAGCATTCTTCAAGAAATATGAAAGAAATTTAAAATGTCTGGATGTCCAAAAGTACAAATTAAAAGTATATCCTCATTTGAGAGCTGAAAGGTTTAATATTCAGACTAATATTTCTCTCTTCCAGCTAAGGTGTTGGATTTCTAATCTGTCAACAGTTCTTTTCTAAAAAAAAAGAGACGTGTATATATATATTTCTATCCATTTTTAATTATATTTTATAAATGATGATCTGTATATTGTTACCTCTCAGCTTCAAATTGACTAGAACATATAAACAAATATAAAAAAGACTGAGGCCCTGATCCTGCTCCCACGAAAGCCAGTGGAAGGAGAGCCATAAATTTCTGTGGGAGAATTACTAGGCTTCAGAGTATGTTTGTGCTAAAGGCAGACTTGTGTGGCACCAGGTGAAGCCAGGTACAAAAGAAATGTAATTAAAGTGCAAAATGTTATCATATGCTCAAAAAAGTTTAAAAATCTCCAAATTTTACAAGCATGACATTTTTCAGATTTCAATAGCTCAAAATAATAAAAAAAAAAAAAAACACAAAACAAAACAAAAAAAATTTGTCGGCAATCTCAACAGATATTTTAGGCTGAATACACAATGCAGGATAGGGCCCAGAATGTTTATATTGAACAATAAAAAATTGTCTGTGCTGGGAAACTCAACTTGAACTGCAGCTAGAAAGGTTTCTTTCCTCTTTTCTTTTATACTTTTTTTTCCCCTAACTGATCTAGTTCAGCCAGGGCATAGCTGTAATTACCTTCTTCCCATCTACAGCTAATACCTCAGAGCAATAAAAAAATATGAGGGTGTTAAAAATTCAAACACTAATTATGGGCTGTTATATTTACTAAACACAGCAGAGTAATAACAAAAGTTTCAGCTTCTTGTGACCAGCGCTGCGTTATTTGATCTACCAAGTCCCTGGACCCTTTACATTTACTGTATTACATAACAGTTAATAGCGCACTAAAATAAAATTCGATAAACACATTTATTACCAAACATGTATAGCACAACCACTTACAGCTGTCTCCCTTTTCCAGCACAGGTATACCTCTGAAGAGTTCATTCCTTTGTTGATTTTGGTTTTGGTTGCCAATTAAGTCATACAAATAGTAAAGCAGTAGATTTTGAAAAGGGAAGCATGCACTATTTGAGTACCCCATTTAAAGTCCTATGGTAAATACTGGCTAATCCTACAATTCTTCCTCTTACTTTCCCTTATGCCTGCTTTCAGGTCTAGCAAAGGAATAAAACTGAGAGCTGCCATAGTTCCTAGTTCAGCACTGCCACTGTCACGGCTACCACCCCTCACATTCACATTAAACACACACAGTGTAGCTTTTTACCACTTAATAAGAATAGAGGTGTATGGATTTTTGGGGTGTCAAACAGCTGTCACAAACTGTCACCTCCACAAGAGAAACCTTGGCACACAGTAAATTAACCTACACTTCTTTTTGGCTATCATTATTCATAGCTAATCAGTTGAAATGCTCCTAGTATTTCATGTGCAAATAAAACCATGAGGGGAAGACCCATGGATCAGAATAGTGGGCCAATACATAAAACAGAGGAAACAACATGCTGTCTCTGTCCTTCTGAAGTGGCTCATCATCACCCCTGCACCAACTTTCACCAAATGAGATCTAGCCTGAGGCTATATATTAAATATGCATATCAAAGCAAATGAAAAAATAAACCTGGAGAGTCAAATTGGACAAATTTGCATGCTTGAACTACAACATTTTCAGGTAGATGCTCACAAATGATAGCTTGGGTTTTGATAGTCCTGCATGTTTACATTAGCCATTTCTAAAAAGCTTTTCCCTCTTTATGAAAAAAAGTGGATTTCTTCCTGCTGGAACCTTGTACATATAAATGTGTACACACACGGTAGCCTGACTAAGCTATAAAAGAGTGTTAAAGTTTTGTTGGGAAAACAAGCTAATATACAAAAAAAAAAAAATCCAATAAGGAGACACATTTCCCAAAACGCATGAATAAAATGTAACTATGTGATACAACTCTTCATTTCCCAGTTGGTGTTCTGGTTGCACAAATTATTGCTTCCTTTCAAAACAAATAGCAGGGGGCTAAAGTAAAAATGTTATAGCTCAAATCTCCAGGAAATAAAAGGCTTTAAATTATAATACCCAATGAAGTGGTAAACCCTAACGGGTGCAAGATAAATGGGTTGTCATATTTATTTGAGTTTGGGTTTTGGGCCACAAAAGCAAGAGGAGATTCTTCTTAAGGAAGATAATAGTTATCAAATTATCAAAATGCTAACCCCCTCCACCCCTGTCCTATCATTGTGTGTGAATTTAAATATTATAATGGAGCACTGCAAATTGGCTTGAGCATTCGCCATCTGCCAGAACCCTAAACAGGCTAGTTTATCTAATCTCTTCAATATAAACATAAGCATGCTCCATTTCTACACTTCCACTTGAAACACACTCTTGTAAAGAAACTGTACTGGAGAAACATGTACTTTTTTTCCCCATTGCTCTGAATTATACATAATGACCCCCTATCTTTCAGGTTGCCACTTATTTCAATTTCTTTTCTAGTATTCTCCCAGAATACTTATGCACTCAAATTTAGAGTTGCAAAATGTCATAAAACAAATATTTTTGAAATAATGTTGTGCCTCATGGAGTTTGTTCTCTACGTGTGAGATAGCTGATAAGCAGAGAAACTTTCAGGAACCTCTGCATACAATTTTTTCTTTCAAAATAATAGATTTAAAATGTAAAACATCGCAAAAGCCTTGTTCTGCAATGTTTACTGAATACAAATGAGAAAATGAAAGCTAAGGCTTGGGTCCAAAAAATATTTCCCGGGCTCTGTAACTCAGCTGTGCCAGAAGGGGGGCATTGAGAATAATTTATTATTATTTTATCTCCCAATTCAGCTTCGGTCCAGGTCTAATGTAATTATCAAATACACACACAAACAACATGTTTTCAAAGGAAACAAAAGCTCCTAGAAAGCTCATTCTCCCTAGGCTTACAGCTACTCTTCTTAACACACTGGGAAATAAAGGCAGGCGCCTGTGCAGAAAGCATGGTTAACTTCACACCGGGTGTTAAATTAATATTTCAACCGCTAAAATATTAGACTGTATCATTTAGATTATGAGTTCAATTGATTCTAAAACTGTGTAAACCCCTTTCCCCCCCAGGGATGCGTTCCTATAAATAAACTGGAGTTCACACCCACTCTTTTTAACCAGAGCTATTCCTTCCCCTTTCTGCGGTACCAGCTGCAATCTTTCCCTTCACATCCCGAAGTCTCTCCGCGTCTACATCTTTTGAAGGATCACAAGAGCCGCTCCAAAACCCGGAAAAACAAAGGCACTCTCCTCACCACGCACACCAACGTTCAGTCCTACACACATAACACTAATTCACCAACTCCTAAAGTGTTAAAATCAACCGCTAACCTACGGTTACTCAATCATCATTCTCTCCAGCTTTCTGTAATACATTGTTAATAATTGCTTCATCAAGGTTACTGTCTTTTATTATGAAGATGCTTCAGGCGTTTGGCAATAAGTCCATATTCTGACAATAAGTTGCTATAAAGCACAAGCATTGGAAACTCTAATGTGCTAACCCCTTTTTTTTAATGCAGTGTAGTATTGCCAATAATTCTCATCACTTGTCATCCCCACGAGAGGGGAGGGGGGAGCAAATCAGCAAACTTTCTCCCTAACTTTCTTGTCTCTGTTTCCTTACATTGCTGCATTGATTACAGAGTTGGCAAGGAAGAGGAGAAAACACCGAGCCCCACATCAAACCGACAGTTTGCTAGCTCTCCAAGCCGCCCAGACCAGGAAACTTTACAAACCATTGCAAACTCGCTGCTTTGCAGATGGAAACAGAAGGAACCTTTTGCATTTGTACAGCTTCATAAGGCAAGAGGGAAGAAAGTGTAAAGATGGGGTCCCAGCTTGCAAGAGGTTAAAGTAGTAGTAATAATAATAACAACAACAATAATAATAAATAATAATAATAATAGACAACAACAGCAAAACAATTAAATCAGGGACAGGTCCTCTAAGGAGGTTGAAGTCTTTAAAAGAGCCGTAAAGAAATCAGAAGGACTTACATGATCGGCTAGATTTGTGGAAGATCCTGAGAGTTCTTCGTGGTCTGATTTGGAGCTGCCATCCCTTTCATCAATAACAAGGTCTATTGGCATTTTTCCTTTCAAACAACTAATGTACCGATGGCAGAAGTTATCGCACAATTCATGAACCTGAAAACAGTGACAAGAATAATAGTGTCAGTAATGGCAAAATATTGGATTGCAACTTTGGTTTTATGCTGGGGTTTTGGGTTTGGGTTTTTTTTTTGTTTTGTTTTTTGTGGTTTTGTTTTTTTTTTTGGTAGCAAAAACAACCCTCTGATCTACTCCACAAGTAACTCTAATTAAGGGGCACAATAGTTGAAGGCAAGGAAACAATAGAGAAATTGTTGCAGCACATATTATTCTCTAGAGACTTGCCGCAGCAACAAGTTAGAGAGAGAGAGAGATAGTGGGCTCAGTCTGGTGTGCAGAGGAAAATCCGATTTCATGATAACATCAGAACACAGGGAGCTGGACCCATGCAGTATCTCTGGAGCGTACACAGCCCAGACAGGTACAACGAGTCACTCGGGACGGGATCGGTTTAAACCGGGGCTAAAAAAAAAAAAAAGTCTGAAGTGGCCGGGAGCAGTAAGGCGAAGCTCCTGGCTGAGGCTGTGGGAAGAGCCGTCCCCGTCCCAGGGCACAGCCCCCTCCCCACGCCGCGCAGGGGCCCCCTGCCTCTCCCAAACAGCTAGGGCTTGCTCGGGGTTAATATGCCTGCCAGAGCTGGAGAAAGGCAGGAGTGCTTTCATTTCTCTTTTTGTTAAACATACTACTTCCGAGTCAGGAAAAGAGCTTCTGCTGAGGGAAGGGGTAAGAAGGATGGAAGGGGGGTTAATAACTTTTAATGCCTGGTTGCAATTACGATGGAAAAAACAAAACAAAACAAAACAAAAACACACACACAAAAAAAAAAAAAAAAAAAACAAAAAAACAAACAAACAAAAAAAACAACCCAAAAAAACGATCCGGGTTGGGCATGATTGTCGGGTGCCACATGCTCTGATGGCACAGGTTACAGGATCACACTGCGTTTCCCCTCTTTCCTCTGGCCATGTTTACAAGTCCTACCAAACACTCGGGGGGGTTGGGGAGGGAGGGCGGGGGGGGGGGAACATGGGGGTATAGGGAGGGAACGACTTGTCCCCCGCCCCCCTCCGTGGCTCTTACCTTTTCTAATTCCAAAAGGTGAAACCTTAGTACTTGTATTGCTTGGATCATCTGCAAGAAAGTTTTGAGCAAGGGGTTACGTGGGAGACAGGAGCACGGGGGCTGCGCAGAGCTGCGAGCCCGAGTGGGCAAGGGGGAGAAGGGGATTGCCAGGGCGCGCAGTCATTATCCAGGATTTTAGCTCATTGGTCACGCTTGAACAATTTTGATCAACTTTAACCTAAGCACTTGATTTTTATCATATTTATTCCAGGAGCGGTGATTAGTGCTTTATTACCACGATCTTGGAGAAAACCTCTTCCTCTTTTCCTCGCTCCCTCTCAACACCCGGCCCTCATCCCTGAGGGTCCGCAAAGGGGTCACACACACGCTCCCACCCCCCCCCCCCCCCACCGCCCGCAGGAGAAAGGGGAGGGGGGGGAAGGATGAATAGTTTGGCATCTTCTTTACAAGCGGATTTAGGCACTTTGAATATTGAAATCGTTCACATTAGCAAAAGAATTAGGTTAGAAATCTCCCGCTCTCTCTTCTTAAGCAGTTATTTCCTTCACTTTAGCTTCCCGTGGCTTTCAAACACGGCTTTGCAGTGCGTCGGGGCTCGAGAGTTCGCCCCGGCTCGCTTTAAAAGTGCAGATCTTTGAAGCCCCTTGACTGCGGCGTCCCAGCCCCTGGCCCTGCCCGGGTGCCGGGGTGCGGGGTGCCGGGGTGCGGGGTGCCGGGGTGCCGGGGTGCCGGGGTGCCGGGGTGCGGGGTGCCGGGGTGCGGGGTGCGGGGTGCCGGGGTGCGGGGTGCGGGGTGCCGGGGTGCCGGGGTGCCAGGGCCGCCGCCCGCTCGGCGGAGGGCACTTGCCGGCGGCCCGCACCGGGGGTGGGAAGGGCGAAGGCGGGGGAGGTGGAGGTGTTGGGGGGGGGGGGGAGGGAGCAGAGGAGGGGAGCAGGCCTTACCAAATTGTCCAACTCTGGATTTGAAGAAAAAAGTGGTTTTTCAGCGCGGACCTGTAAGAACGAAAAGCGGCGTGAATTACTGCTTCTCTCCTCAGCCCTGTAACTCGAATCACTCGAAGCGGGGGACAACCCCCCCCCCCCCCCCCGGGACAAAACCAGCCGGGCCAGGTCGGGCCGAAACCCGGCTGGGCTCCCCGGAGCCACCCGGGCTGCCCCGCTCCTGCCAGCCCGGGGCCCGGCCGGCCGCCCTTGCCACCGCAGCCTTCTCCCCTTGGTCTGTGCCTCGCTCCCGCTCCCTCTGCCTCCCAAACTCGGCCACAGTTACGTTTCCCTTTCGCTAAGGCGGGAGGGCGAGGGCCGGGAGCCTCAGCCTGGCAGCGCGGAGGGGATCCCGGCGGAGCAGGGTCAGAGACGGCCGGGCCGCCAGCCCGCAACCCTCCCGCCCCCCCCCCCCCCCCCCCCAGGGCCGGAGAGGGGGTGCCGGAGTTGGGGAGGGGAGGCGGGGGGGGGGCTGCCCCCTGCGAGCGCCCGGCCGTGCGGGTCGAGAAGCCGAGGAGGTGGCGGGGGCGCTGGGAAGGAGCGGGGCGGGGGGAGAGGTGCCGGACCTGTTTGGCGAAGACGGCGATGTCCTCGTTGAAGGAGTCGGAGGAGCAGACGTCCCCGCCGGCCACGCCGGGCTCCCGGGGCGTGCAGGTCGCCAGCTCGCACTTCTCAAAGACCAGAGCTAAGAGGGGGAACAACGGGTGCCTACCGGGCAGTGGCACACAAAGAGAGGGGAGGAGGTGGGGGGAGAGGGGGAAAGAAGAGCTCTAATCAACAAGTATTTTTTTTTTAAAAAACGCACGGACACACAGACACGGACACACGGACGCGGCCACGCTCTGCAGCCTCTCAGTACCGCGTCGGGCAGAGCAAGGGAGAACAACATTTTGAAATAAAAATGCTAGATTTGGTGGTGGGTTGGTTTGGGGGGGTTGTTTTTTTCTTTTTCTTTCTTTTTTTTTTTTTTTTCTTTTTTTTTTTCCCCCCCTCTTGAAATTGCAATGCCCGAGCAACATCCCCCCGTGCAGTCCCCCCAGATGAGGACAAAAGTGACCTCTCCTCCAACCGCACAAGGCACCAAACACGCTCACGCCGGCAGCAGCTCAGCTGGGAATCTTACACTTTTCGCCACAGCTTAAAATAACGCGAAACCTGGAAGATCCCATCCCTACCCTCCAGCTATGACCTAAAATGTGAAGCACGGCCAGGCAAACTGCAAACTACTTAATACGTAATTTTATTTTTCAAGGGGCCTGCTAACAAAAATGTGGTGAAGTTTCCTGGCTTGGGAAGCACACCCAAGTAAAATACCAGCTGTCCAGATAAGTGAGCTGGGGAGGGGGTGGAGGGAGGGAGCACTTCGCGAAATATTTTCCCATAGTTGGTGTAGTCAGAAAAAAAAAAAAATTATCTGCGTGCTAAGTAGTTATCATGCATTTGTCTCTTTTCCCCTTTGGTGCCTGATCAAGGCCCCACACTCTGTCATAGATGTTACTATCTCTCCTTTTAGGATCATTTAGTATTTTTTTCTAAAAGGCACTGAAGGGAATCGGTGTCATTCCCCCCCAAGCAATGCCCTGGCACAGGCTTGAGTTTTGGGTACGTGTTTCTTTTTCCTCATGTTCTTTCTTTTCTGAATAGAAAACTCAGCTCAGTGCCCCCAGTGTATTTATTCCTTCTGTCTCAGGGAAGAGCTGCTTACGAGAAGCGAATCCCTTTTATTCTTACTACCTTCCGCGATGTGAATAGCTCTTTATTTACAGTGTTGGAAGTGTTATTATGGCACGAAGGAGAACACCAGAACAACACTTCTCCAACTAAAATCCAGAGCAATGAGAGCCGCTTCTCCTATCTGAACTCCTAACTGGGGCCTTTCCTAGAAAAACAAAAAACCCAGGCGGGGAGGGGAGGGGGGCTGGTGGTGGGTGGGAGGGGGGAAGGAAAAAAAAAAAAAAAAAAAAGAAAGGAAAAAAAAGGGAAATAAAAAGAAAAAAGAAAGACAAGGAAACCCCACCACCTCCCCCCAACCCAGCCTCTCTCCCCGCGAGTTCTGCTTTTCCAGGACGCGCTCCCCGCGGGTCAGCCAGGGACTGCCCCGGTCCCGCGACCGCTGGCAGTGGGAGCGGCGGGGCCACGGCGCGGGTGTCCCTGCGGAGCGGGCGGCCGGGGGCTCCCCGCCGCCGCCCTCCCGCCGGGGCTCCCCCCGCCCCGCTGCGGGGCTCGGCGGGGGCCGCCGCCGCCCGCCCGCCCGCCCCGCTCCTGCCCTCGCCGCTCCGCCGGCACCGGGGGCACCGGGGGCCGGGCCGCGGCGCCGGGCGGCCCGGCGGCACCTACCCGTAGATCGCATCCTTGTCCCGCTTCAGGGCGTCGTTGACAGCGGAGCCCATGCTGGCCGGCATGACATTGGGGTGCGGGGCGTGGGCGCCGTAGTGCTGGCCGGCGTGGAGCGGCGGCCCATGGTTGAGGTGGTGCACCGGGGGGATCGGCCGGGGGGCGTGGGGGTCCCCGTACATGGACGCCGGCACCCCTACTCCGTCCATCCCGCCGTAGTGGGGCAGCTCATCGTACTGTCAAAAAACGGGCCGGAAGAGAAGAAAGAAAGAGAAAGAGGGGAAGAGAGAGAGAGAGAGAGAGAGAGAGAGGGGAATAAAAAAAAAAAAAAAAAAAAAAAAAAAAAAACAAACCAAAACAAACCAAAACAAACAAACAACAACAACAAAAGTCAGAAGAGAGTAAAGCACCCGGACAGACACAAACAGAGCAAAACAAAACGAGAACAGCCACAACAGAGAGAGAAATGTGCAAAATGAAATCAACTGGGATCGGGAGCAGAGGCTGGAGAGGCTGAGGGAGGAGTGGGGGTGCGGGGAGAGGTAAAGGGGGAAAGTGTGTGTGCCTGCCTGTGGGTGCGGGGGGAGATGGTCCTCTTCAGCACGGGCAGGAGAAACCCTAACAAGGAAACGGGGATGAAAAGGAAGGAAACGGAGGAGAGAAACTAGAGTTACTCTGCATTAGAAAGGAAGAACAAAAAAAATAAAATATAAATGAATAAACAAGCAGAATCAAAAGCAACTATATAAATAAATCAACACTGGGAAGGAGAGAGGAAAGGTAGGGTGCATCGGGGGGGAGGGGGGGAAGATAAAGGGGGAAATAATCTGAAAGTTACCAGAAACATTTTTTAGTAGCAATTCCCCTTGTCCTTGTCAAAGCCAGAGACAAAAAAAAAAAAAAAAAGAAAAAAAAAAAAGGCAGCTATATGTGTATACATATATATACGTTCGTATATACACAGACACACATATGTATTTCTTAGTCTTTCCTAGGCAGCAGCGGCAGTAACGGCGGCAGCAGCAGCAGCAGCAGCAGCAGCAGCAGCAGCAAGCTTTCCCCTGTGAAACCCGTGCTACTGAGCAGGCAGAGAGCAGGGAAATCGCGCTGCTGGGGGAAAAGCTGGAGAGGAAAAAAGCGTGGAACAATTGCAGAGAGAGACACACACAGAGAGACACTCACGCACACACACAAAAAGCTAGTGAATAATTTTTGCTGCTATTTTTTAATAGTGGCCGCCATCATCATCAGCAACAGAGGAGAGCAAATCGGACAGGCCCCTCTTAAGAGAGGATTTATATATAGGTAAGTGTTGGAGATTTAAACCTACCCTTTGCGCCATCAGTCTGCGCTCCAATAAACTCCTGGATGTGTCGTATATTTAATATCCCAGTCCAGCAAAGAAAGTGATTTAGAGTGAAGAAGATTCCTCTTTTTTTTTTTTTTTTTTTTTTTTTTTTGCAACCCACTTATAGACTTCTCCTATCCTCCAATATGGGTAAATAATAATAATAACAACAACAATAACAACAACAATAATATATAAAAAACAGTCAAGAACCACGATGAGTTTCTGTGTTTTCTTCTTTTTTCTCTCTCTTTCTCTCTTTCCTTTTTCTCTCTCTCTTTTTCCTTTTTTCTTTCTCTACGCAAAAAAAAAAAAAAAAAAAAAAAAAAATTGTCAAGCCCTCAAACTGAAGGTTACGATCGGCCCGTCAGCAACCCACATGTAACCAAACTGTCGTGTCTCATGGCTTTTTGCCACTCCAGCTGTCAATCAAAGCCAGGGAATGTCAAGGTAGTGAATGAATGATGGTTGATGATGATGAAGAAGAGAGGAGGAATCTTTTTAACCCCGGTTTCTTCTTCCAGTAACTCCGCGCTCGGGTTTTGCCTTTTAGGATCGCTATAGGGTTGGTTTTGATTTTTTTTTTTTCCTTTTTTTTTTTTTTTTTTTTAAGTACTGTGAAGGGGGGGTGGGGAAAGATGCGAAGAAAAATTGAATAGTTTGCAAAGCCCGGACTTCCCCCTCTCTCCTTTTTTTTTTTTTTTTTTTTTTTTTTTTTTTTTTTTTTTTTTTTTTCCTCCTCCTCCTCCTCCTCCTCCCGGCAGGTATTTTGTCTCCCTCTCTCCCTCGCTCTCTGAGATGAGTGAGTGTCAGTAAGTGTTGGCAGGTTGGCTGCTGGCTGCCTTATAGAAGCGGCTCAGTTTTGCAGCGCTGATCGGCGGGAGAATGAAGTGACGGAACCCGGAAGTAGTGGTGGCCATAGCCAGTCCTGCAGCGCGGCGGCGGCGGCGGCGGCGGCGGCGGGGAGCGGCGGCGGCGGCGGCGGCGGGAGCGGCGGCGGGAGCGGCGGCGGCGGCGGCGGCGGCGGCGGCGGGAGCGGCGGCGGGAGCGCGGGGCGCGGGGCGGCGGGGCGCCCCAGCCGGCGGAGCGCCGGGGATGCGCAGCGCGCCGGCAGGGCGGCCGCGGCGCCGCGCGGGGGGAGCCGCGCAGCAGCCCCTGCCCCGAGCGAAGCAACGCGTGTAGGAAGGAGCGAGCGAGCGTGCGAGAGAGAGGGAGGGAGGGAGGGAGGGAGGGAGGGAGGGAAGGGGGAGGGAGGGAGGGAGGGAGGGAGGAGGGAGGGGAGGAAGGACAGGGAGAGTGCGTGTGTGCGAGAGGGGGGAGAGGCAGGGGAAAACTGCAGAGAGCCAGAAGAAAAGTGCGGTAGAAGCCCAGCCCCGGGTTGGTTTGCGCTAGATTATTTGAGCAACAAAATACCTTCCGATTAACCGCGGTGTTTAGCGTCTGATTTACGCGCTGAGCTGCCGGTTCAAATCGCCGGCCGCCGCTGCGCCGGCCCCGCGGCGCGGGGAGCCGCCGGCTGCGGGGGGGCCGCGCAAAGTTGGGCTTCCCCGGGAAGCGAGCCGGCCCCGGCCGCCCGCCCGCCTCGCCGCCAGCAGCCTATGTTGCAAGCGTGGTTTCTTTCCTCTGACCATTCATTGTGCTTTTCTAAAAATTAATTTTCCAGGGCACGAAGAGAACGCCTCGTTCAAACCGTGTTTGGCACCGCTCTTCATTAAGTGATCGCTGCTATCAAGCACGCTGAGGATGTCTTGGGGGGAGAGGCGGGGAAGGGGGGGGAAAGAGGGGGAAGAGGGGGAAATCCCTTTTAGTTTTGCGATTAGGCTGCCAGGCTTTGAAAAGGGCTTAAAAACAAAGTCATGCTCAGCCTTTTGTAGTAGAGATCCAGATGTTATGTGGATTTTTGTTTGCATGTTCATTTTGAGCGGAGCCGGCGGTGAGCGCTGTATTTACGCGTGTATGTTGCTGGACTTTGCCGTATATCGACGTTGCGCTTGTGGAATGTATGCTGAAGTATTAGCTCGGTAATGCCTTCTAATGGTAGTGCTAATTACAGTGGGGTTATTTAGCAAATTAAGTGAGATGATGCACCCCCCCCACCCTTGAGCACCAAATGAACTTTTCCAAATACGCACACGCACGCACGCACACACACACACACACACACACACACGCGCGTTAATTTTGGTGTGTTTCTGTCGCCCAATCACTTTGCTGGAGCTAAACCGTGCCTTACCTCAGAACAGTCAATTACCAAAGCTACCCGGGATCATCAATCATGGGGGATGCTTGAAGTTTAGGGGAGGAGCGATGGTCAAACTATCGATCGCTGCAGTTTTGTCCTCCCCAACCCCCCACCCTCGTTCACGGTCCCCTGCACATAAAATCTAAAACAGACTATCCCGTTAATAGTGGGATTTATCAATGATTATGTACCCGGTTGTGAATGTGGCCTCATATGTAGACGGCTTTTTAAAATACACGGCAGAAAAATATGATTTACTCAGTTAGGTTTTGCTTTGCTTTGCTTGGCTTTTCGTGATGATGACGGTGATTTTCAGATCTTTTTTTCTTTTTCTTTTTTTTTTTTTTTTTAAAAAAAAACTTTAAGAAAAATGACTCAAGAAGTAGTTATAGATATTTGGCCTGATTTTAATAGGCGTAGGGAATGAGCTCCAGAGGTCAATAAACCCCTCCAAAATGATGAATGATTGAGTACCTGTGATGATGATAGTGATTACCGGAGCAATTAAACAGTTTGATTAAATGAGCCATCATAACAATGATGTCTGCGGGAAATCAGCCCTCACATATAAAGAAAGATAGTGTGGAGGGCTGACAAACGCCAGTGGGCATTCCTGCGTGTTCCGATAGCGCCGAGCCCTGCAGAGCAGGGCTGTATTTACAAATATGGGGGGAATATGGAGAAAAGTCCCTCTCCTACTTTTAGCCAGAGTTGCACCCTGCTTAAAACCCGCCAGAAGCCGGAGAGCAGACCCGTTTTTTTTTTTTCCTAGAGGATCTCCTCCAAGATTAAAGCTAGTCCTAAGAGCAACCGAATTGCTGTGACTGACTTTCACGGGACTGTAAAGAGAGGTGAGTAAAAAAGCCCTTAGTATGTAGAACTCTTTCAAGCAGTGGTTAAGTCGATTCATTTCGCAGGGAAAAAGCCAATCTTCTTGTGCAGTATTTTATACTCTGTCGTATAAATCGGTAACGTAATTCAAGATATTCATGGTAATGAATGCTTGGCTAATCCTTTGGGTGCGCGGAGACCTACAGAGCAGTAGGTTATGCAAATCCTTTCCTACTTTTACAGCTGTAGTTTTCTAACAGATTTTTTTAAGAGATCTAGTCATCGGTGAATGCTATTTGTTTTTTTCCCCTTCCCCACCCCCCCCTCCCCTCCCCCTGGCCCAAAGATGCCAGATTTCTAAACTTCCGTGGAATCATTTGACTGTGATACAATCCATACAGCCAGTTTAGAGGATGTGTTTTAAATATTTGTAGCTTCCAAACTTCTTTTTTAACCGAAGCAGTGTAAACCCGGAGCCTTGCCTCTTGAGATATCCAAGTGTGTCTCATTTCAAATAGTTTCAGTATCACTGAAGAAGAGGTCTTTCCTTGTAACGTGGCCGTGCAAAAGTAATTTAGCTCCATTGAAGGCTCCATGTATTTGTTCAGACCTCAAGCTGTGGGAGAAGTTCATCAGTTTTCTTCTCAAAAATAAGTTTTTAGATGACTTGGTTCCCACAGAAGAAGGCATTTCATTGCTTAGGATACAGATATTTTTTTTTTTTCATAATTCTGTTTTTCACAGAAGTCTCTGTAGATCTTGGTTCTCTTGACTAAGAAATTGTTAGAAAGCAATCTAAAATCAAAGCTGAAAAAAAGCAGCCAAAGATTTTTGCAGTGTTCAGTGCTGCTCCTTTTACTTGTTCCTTTTTTTTCCCTTCTTTCCCTCCCCCCCCACCCCCCACTAATTAACCCCCTGCGTTGACTCGCCCTGCTGTGCATGTGTGTAATCTGGGACAGGGACCAACTTTTAAAAATTATTTTAACTTGATAGAAAGTGAAATTTCATATGGTAAATGAAGGGCTTTCATGTTCCTCCTCCGTCTTTTTTCCCCGTGAAAGGAGTTGAAGCCTTTTTCCTCTTCACTATCCCAGTGGATTAAAGCACACAGAGAACATGGTTTATAAAGCGCTACAGTTTAGCCATTAAAAAGGAATCTCAATTTAGCGCCCTTAAGTGAAAGTACTCAGCTATTAACAAAGATGCTGTTGGGAACTCGGAGGAAAATGGGATACGTGCACGCGGGGAGGTGGGGGGGGGGGGGGGCTTCCACATTCTTAGGTCATTTTTATTTACCTTTTTTTTTTCCCAGCCTGGTGACATATTTCTTTTAAAACACAGTAATTCGGGAAAATTAAATTGGCTAATTTCCATTTCTCGTGCATCACTTTCACAGCGAAGGCTGTTTCCAGGAAAAGTGTGAGAGACGAGTCGGTGGTGTGTGTGGTGTGTGTGTTTGGGCTCTTTTTTTTTTTTTCTTTTCTTTTGCATTTTTTTCCCCTTTTTTTTTTTTTTTTTTTTTTTTTTTTTTTTTTTTTTTTAGATCGGCTTAAAAGTCCAAAGAGAAATGAGGTGTCCGGTATGGAAGTGCATCTCACTCAACAGCCAGCTCCTTTTGCCGAGGCTGGAAATGGTTTTAACAGGCGGTAAAATTTCATCTTGTGGTGTCAAATTGGGGTCAGTTTGGGGTTAGCGCTCTCAGTGTCCGAGCAGGAGCTGTCCAGCTGTGTGGGGATTCATTAAGGGCAAAAGATCCGTTTCAAGAAAAACAATACAAAGACAATCAGAGGGCTAAAGATCCTCTTCAAATCGCATTTTACAAGTGCACCAGAACAAATATGGACGCTGAAACCTATTCCCTTCAAACTCCCAAATCGGCTTCTTAGCCCTTGGAGGGAGTGAGAGAGAAAATCCTCTAAAACTTAAGAAGAGTCTGTTTTCAATCAGCCTTTCCGAAGTGTGGCATCTTAGTCCTTTGCTGCCTTTGAGACATGCCTCTCTCGCTCGCTCGCTCCCTCTCTCTCTCTCTTTTTCCACAGCCTTGCAAAAGCGGATGGCACAACAGGTAATATTTCAGATTTCAAGAATATATCCCACCGGGGATCTTAAAGCACTGTTTTGTACGCGGGTGTGCGCCTAGCTCAAGATTTAATGCAAATAGGAAGTTTGGGGGGGGGGGGGGAAATAAGCCATGCTTGCACAAAATCCTATTGGACCCCTTCGGAAATTTTCCACACTCCTTGTAGGTGATGCTCCGCTCTGATGGGTAATTTAGGCTAGATTTACTTTACGGTTCCTAGCATTTGTGGAAAGCACCTATTGCTAATCTGGTTTATTAAATTCGCGTGGTTTAAATCCTCTTAGCGTCCCTACATCTGTTAGAACAATTGACGCCTTGCAACAAGGACAAATAACTCGAACCTTAATCTTGTTTGTAACTTTATTCAGTGTTTGTTTGTTTGTGAGCCGAGTTCAAGTATTTTTGGATGATGCCATTGTGTTCGGTAACACATAGGCTACATTTGCAGGCAAAACTCCCCACGGACGGGCTAAGGGTATTGTGGAATAGGATGAAAAAAATTGCGTATTTGAACTGGCGTTTTCTCTCGAACTACCGTTCTAGGAAACGTGTCATATTTAATGAAGAAAGCAATCTGCCTGTTAAAATGTGGCTGCGGGATTACATCACGCTGACCCCCTAGTAAAACCCACGGGCGTTTTTCTTTTTGTTTTGCTCGCGAGGCGAAGCCTGGGGTGTAAATAGCACCTTCTTTTTGTATCCAGGATTATGCCACAAGTTCAAACTCCTACCCCCAGACCCGCTCTCTGGCACACTTTCCTTTGCCCTTACGGTTGGCTCTTACAACTTGAGTCACTTTTTCCCCGTCTCAGCCCACTTCGACTCGGCCCCGACTTCCCGCAGCTGCCGGAGT